GATAAAGAAGTATTTTTATGTTCTTATCAGATGGTTCTCAATATCTAATAGAGTTCAAGGGTTCTTCCAGACTTGCTTTATAGGTGTATATATGCATATTTATACACATGATATGTCATACATATAATAGATATATGTAAATGTAGATGTATATCATGTGTATCCAGCTGCCCATTCAATTTAATATCATAGAATCATAAAATCTTAATGCTTGAATCACTCACAAAGATATCATATAATCCAATTTTCTCATTTTAGAGACAAAGAAATTGAGACCCTAAAAGGTTAATGGCTTACCTTGATCAAATAATAAAGGGCAGAGCCAGGATTAGAACACAGACTATCTGCCCCACTCAACCCCCCACTACTCTAGGGCTCTCTCTATTAGGTATCATTCTGTTTCCCTTTATACTTACTTTTGCCATGATTCAAAAAGACACATTAGTTAATATAGACTGATATGCTATACAAGCATGCTTCAAATCATTTTGGGGAACAGACTAATAACCAATAAAAACCAAGCCTAACATTTATCTTTCAATAGTTCAAATTTCTTCTTCATTTGGTTCTAGCTTCAGAATCTCCAGGACTTGATCAAGATTCTTAGTATGAATAGGTTGACCCCAAACCAATATGTCCTTGTCTTAAAAGAAAGCAATCTCTCCTCCCAACTTCATGTGCTATTTCTAATGGTCTGATTGTATAAATTTTTAAGTCAGTCAATTATCTTCCCATACAATAAGTAATAAATTCTTAATATGTAAAACGCAATATCAAAGATCCCAGAATATCGTACCCAAAATGAGTGTCTTCAAGGTTTGGATGAGAGGGGAATAATGGAAAGAATTTACCAAAATCTTAATATTTTGTCAACCCATACCTTCTGCATGTTATGTTCTGCTGTAATAAACACAATATGGAATCAAATCAACAACAAATATTTATTGAGCACCCACTATATGTAAGACATTGTAGGGAATGTAAAGAAATATACTATAGGAAATTATACTAGAAAAACCACTGATGTGGAATTAAGATCCCCTGTATTTCTTGCCTTTACAATCCGCTTGATTTAGATTTACTGGGTGGCAAAGAATTGGAAATTGACAGGATGCTCATCAATTGGCTAATGGCTGAGCAAGTTGTGGTATATGAATGTAATGGAATACTATTGTTCTATAAGAAATGATGAACAGGCTTTCTTCAGAAAAACCTGGAATGACTTGTATGGTCTGATGCTGAGTGAAGTGAGCAGAACCAAGAGAAGGTTGTACACAGTAACAGCCACGTTGTGCAATGACTAATATTGATAAACAAGGATCTAAGACATCTCCAAAGGCCTCATGATGGAAAATGCTATCCACATCCAAAGAAAGAACTTTGGAATTTGAATGCAGATCAAAACATACTATTTGCTATTTTTTTCTCTTCTGTTTAGTTTTGTTTCCTCTTTCTGGTGGTTCCTCCTATTGGTTCTAATTTTTACTTACAATATCACTAATCTGAAAATATGTTTAATATGAATGGATATATATATATAGCCTATATCAGACTGTGTGCCATCTTGGGGAGGGTGGTGGGGAGAAAGGGGGAGAAAAATTTTAAACTCAAAAGCATATGGAAGTGATTGTTGATAAATCAAAATAAATTAATTAATAAAAAGAAAAAAAATTAGATTTACTGGAGGTAGAAAGGGAAAATACCTCTTGTATCCATCCATCCATTTCTTTCCATTCTCAATTCCCCTATTTAGGTTCTTATGTTTGTACACTTGGATTTTTGCAGTATTGCCATAATTGTCCTCAGTTTCCTCATCTATAAAATGGGGATAATGAAACTTGCATGCTCTTCCTCACTTGGTATACAACTACTTCATAAATGTGAGCTATCATCAATACGATAGATATGATAAGATTACTTAGTAAGAAATGGCACCACCAAATGCCTTTCAGCCTATAATGTAATTCTCAGGAAGGAGACCAACACAATTCCAAGGCAACGTGGGCCTTTGAGAAGTCATATAGTTCAGTCCCTTGTTTTTAAGGTTTACTGTTAAACTATGATTGGGGGGCAGAGCAGAAGTTGAAGAGGAGCAAATTTCAGCTTCATCTAAGAAAAAAACCTGCTAACCTGCTAAAAAAAACCTGCTAACAAAGTTATCCAAAAGTGGACTTGGCTACATCTTCACTGAAAATTTTTAAGGAGTAGTGTGGATGACTGGGGCAGCTAACTGAAGCAGTGGATAGAACTCGAGGTCTGGAGTCAGGAAGATTCATCTTCCTGAATTTAAATCTGGCTTCAGACACTATGTGACTTTGGGCAAGTCATTTAACCCTGTTTTACCTCAGTTTCCTCATCTGTAAAATGAGCTGGAGAAGGAAATGACAAATCACTCCAGTATCTTTGCCAAGAAAACGCCAAATGAGGTCACAAAAAGTCAGACATGACTGAAAATGATTGAACAACATGGATGATTTTGTCAGAGAAGTCACAGAAGGCATTTTTGCTCATACATGGACTTGGACGAACTGGCCTCTAGGATTATGGGAAACTATAGATATATGCTTATCCTAACCAAGGAACGTGATATCCTCATTTCTTTGGGTAACTCATTCAAATAGATATTAACCCTTACCATCAAAAAGTTCTTTGAGTGCTGGATATAGAGTCAAGAAGACTGAATCTGAATCCTGCCTCAGACACTTAGTTTGGTAACCCTGGGCAAGTCATTTAACCTCTTAGCCTCAGTTTCCTTATCTGTAAATGAAGATAATGATAGCACCTAACTCAAAGAGCTGATGTAAGAATCAAATGAGGTAACATGTGTAAAGCACTTTGCAAATCTTAAAGGTGTCATATAAATACTACCTATTATTATGATTAGAAAAAGCACAAAGTTGAGTGGATGGCAATGCTGTAACATCAGAGCAAACTGTGATGAAGTACTTAGCATGTTTCTCTTTTTATTTCGTTATAAGGGCTCTGTGATTTTTAAAAATGCATCCTCTTTTTTCTCAGGCAAACCTGTCAGAGTGGCTGCTAAAACTGTAAATGACAATCATCAGATGAAAAGAATCAGAAGGAAAGGGGGAAATTGCAAAGGGGAAAAAGGGGGGAAAGGGGAGAAATAAAAAAGAAAAATCACAAATGATTGGAATGAGAGAAAAACTTAGGTCTGATATTTCTAGAAGAAATGCTAAGTCTTCCTTTCAAGCAGCTTCTTCCACTCCCAGGCAAAGTGAAGGGACAGAAATGAGCAAATGCAGGGGGACAAGCCCAGAAAAACATCCAGGTTTCTTCCTAGCAAGTCAGAGAATGATTATTCCTAATGAGAAATAAGCTAAAAGACAAGCTATGAAGGAAAAATTAGGAATTCAGGTAAAATCAGGTAGATTTCAAGAGAGGAGGTACTCAATAAGACTGCTACCGATTTTCAAGGGGTAAAAGACTCAGATCAGGCACAGCTAGAAGTCAGTTAAGAAATGATACCTATTATTAAAGACATTCCTTTGTATCATAAGTCAAGTTGAAAAACCTCATTATTTAACCATTGGTGTGTGACTGTCACATAAGTTTAACTGTAAAGAGAGGTGTTTGTCCATCCCTCCTTTCCACCCACAGTCATCTGAGCCTCCCTTCTAAGATTATCTTCATTCTTTGTAGCTTTTGTGAGTGGGACTTTTTTTTTACATTCTGTCTCCCCCATTAGAATATAAGTTCCTCGAGGACAGAGACTGTTTTTACTTCTTCTTTGTATCATCTAAGCTTAGCACAGTGTTTGGCACATAGCAAATGCTTAAAAAATGCTTGTTGATTGATAAAAAGTGAAACTTTCTGATCCCAGCAGCTGAACCTTACCAAGGCCCACATGGCCATGACTTGGGCAAGTCACTTAAACCATCTGGGTTTCAGTGTCCCCACATGGAAAAAAGGGCTCCTTTACAGTTCCAGATCTATGATCTAGTTATTGTCCCTTTCTGACAAACTATGAAAATTGCAAGTATTATTGCTAAAACAAGAAAATTAAATAAATCCTCAGATAAGGAAAGTGCAAGACTGATGCCCCAGAGGGAACAGCTTTATTAAATCAACACTGTAAATGACAACTGGAAGTCCCCTATATGCCCAGAAGCTAAAAGAATTTCCACGGGGTCTAAGACAAAGCATAAAATGACCCCAAACAAAATTTAACAGTTTTTGCTGTTCTCATTTCCTTATATTGAATGTGTATGAGAGTTTATTTGGGCATGGCTTTTAAACATACATGGGTTTTGATATAAAGCTCTGTATTCTTAGACAAGTAATATAAGTAGGAGCCTTGAGAGCAAGTGAGGGAGGAATTGGTTTGATAAGTATAGCTGGGCAACTGAAAATACACATAAGCCTGTTTTTATGTAAACCTATATTTACTTACTAAATACTTATTGAGCAATATAGGCAATGCAAAAACAAAAGGTATTAATTATTGAGCAATATAGGCAATGCAAAAACAAAAGGTATCAATAAAATATATTTTTAAATACGCTTATTAAATCACTAACTTGGAGTCTAGCACTTTGTTGTCACACAAATAAGAAGTTATTATCATCCCTTCTAATTTGAGTTACAAGTGATCCAGATTAAAAGACTTTTTTCCGTACTGGAGCTCTTCATTATCTATCTAAGTTGGTTCTGAATTGGTAAACTGGAAGCTTTTAATATTCTGGTCTGAGTCCTCTGCACTCTCCTCTTAGAAATAATGACATATCTGAGATACTCACTTATGCACACGGATGCTGAGTTTGTCATATCAGCGTGTTGCCATGGAGAAGGCTGCAAATCGGCATCCAGGAGGACCACAAGGTTATAAATGACTAAATAAACACCTGCCCATTTGGTAGACACATTAAGTTACTGCATCATTTAAGAGTTATTAGTCATCGATACATTATACAAAGAGGGTGGAATGACGTTAATGCCAATGTAGCAACGACAAGCAGGCTAATTACTATTACACACACCAAATGCGATGGAGGCTCAGCAGAGTAGGGAGGGGGCGGCGTCTCCACAGCTATTTCGGGATCCTCATGTTCACTTTCACTGTAGCATTCTGCAATGAAAATGGAAGTGCTCAATTGTTTTTTGGGTTTTTTTTAAATAAATCACCACTGCTCATTCCATAAAGCATCAGCTAAGATATTTTTCTGGCCAATTTTCTTGCAAAGGTCAACACACACCAAATTCATTTCTCCTGCACAAAATGCCATGCCTAGGGATCTGCCTACTTTGAGGAAAGAGAGACAAAAATGAGAGGGAGTGGGCTGGTTTCATTGTGCTGGGTTTCTTTAAATGGTTTTAAGATCAGGTAAGAACAAGCCTTTCAGATCCTCTTAATTTCACTTGAAATGCAAAGAAGACCACAATCAGAAAACTTTTCTTGCTATCTGCCCACCCTGTAGGATAGATTCTATAAGCTATTGTATAAAGTAAGGCAGAGGGGAGACAGAATTCCCTCTCCAAAGCTAATTTTCCTGGTCTCCATCACCAGCCTAGCTATTGGGAAGCCTGAAATTGCCAAGATGGTTATAGGAGAAAACAGTTCATAGTGACAGCCACGGTCGAGTAGTACTCTGCACAGTACTCCTGCTCTCCCAGCAGGAAGACTATCATAAATGCCCAGTTGGTGACCACAGCTAATCATCAAGCCAATCAATTTGTGATTTTTTTGGTTGGCCAAAACATCCTTTTATGCCCTTCCCCCATCTCCACTTTGCCTTTGGCCTGTATGAAATATCAGCATGTATTTGTTTTCTCTCAGCTATATATACCACTGCTGTCCGAGGGTGGGTGTTTACACAATTTGAGTGCTCAAGGGGCCCCAAGGGTCCTGGGTGACTTGAGAAAGGATTGTGGTTTTAGGAAGATATTGAAAAGACACAATCGTATGCAGTTCATAGAAGCTATTGAGTGATCATTAATGTTTACCCCTGTATGAAGTATTCTACAGTTCCCTTGGCAGAGCTGTATTTATCTTGAGTTATACTCAACATAGAAATCCTTTGGGTTTTTTCTAATACTATGTGTGCATTTTGGAAAACTGTAGACATTAACTTCTGAAGGGTTACAAATATTTCTAGTAATACTGAACTTGTTATCTAATTCTCCAGAAACTCTTCGCAATTTTTGTCTATGTATATTTGAGGCCTTAAAAAAAAGGGGGAAAAGGAAGAAGAAAAAAAAAAGATCAGGGAAGAATAGGTAGCTGCAGCAAATGCGTATGGAGAGGGAGAATCCATTTCTAGGTTGCAGAGTCCACACCCTTTTCATTTAAAAGTTTAAGTTTTGTTCTTGGAGCCTTCTAGTGCAGGGCTGCTTAATATTCTTTGTGTCATGGACCCCTTTGGGAGTCAGGTGAAGCCTGCAGACCCCTTTTTAGAATAATATTTTAAATGCATAAAATAAAATATATATTATAAAAGAAATCAATTACATGAAAATATAGCTACGAAAAAAATTTTAACAGTTTCACAGACCCCAGGTCAAGAACTAAAATGTAGTAATTATTTGGAAAGGACTAGAGACTCTCAAGTCTTTTGAAGTATGAAAGTTCTAGGTAGACCCATACGATGAGACTTCCTACTAACACCATTTCAGGTCCTGCCATCCCTTTATAATTCTTTCAGGAATTAGCAGCATACCCACCTAGCACATATGCTAAAATACAAGAGAGGAAGCCGTAGGATGGAATGTTGTCGGGCTGAGAGCATGACTAGATCAGTAAAAGGGGTGTCTGTCTGGGTCTGAGCTGTCATAACTACAGAAGTAGGGAAATAAAACATTTATACTGGCAATTGCTTTCAGTGCCAATGAAACTTATAGCTGCTATGTGGGTGAAATAAGGGTAACAACATACTTATAGCCAAAATAAACTGGTACAGTACACTCATCTTTCTGCTCCTTTCCTTTCTCTCTTCATCTCTATTCCTCCCTCCCTCTTTCCCTCTTCCTTTGGTTCTTCCTCTTCCCTTCTCTTTCTCTCTAATTTTAAGGAAGGTCAAATTCAGATGTGATATATACACTTCACCTGCATCAGGCCCATTCTATTTCCATTTACCTAATCACCTCCCACTATAAATAGCCATAGGTTTAAAATAAAGCATACCTTCTTCTTTTCCTGTGGATGCAAGACGGATTACAGCTAACCCAAGCTTATTTAACCACCTAAAATTCAAAATAGAAAGCAAAAATTTGATATGACAGACTTTAATGATCATAGAGAAGCCCAATGCCCCTACAACCAAATTGGTACCCCAGCTTCAAACCCCTCACTGGGTCTTCTTCCCCAGACATCTGCAGCAAGAGATTACTTCAGTCCTGGTGCTAAAGTGAATCCCAATTTCTACCCAATATCTCTATGGGAATAGAAAAGGGCAATAATTCAAGAGGATTTTTTTTCCTGGTAGTTTATTGATGAAGACATACAACCTTCATATAACCCTACAAAATGGGAGTCTAAAGCTTTCTCATAACTTTTGTATTCAGGCCATCCTTGGTTGTGAACAACAACTGGCCAATTGGTTCAGAGCAGCAACGAAGTTGCATAGCTTTCTAGGGCATCCTAAGTACTAAAACCAAATATAACTTCTTTTGAAAGTGTCCATTCCAATAATTTGTCATCACTTTGAATTCTAAATACTTGACTCAGTTGATCATCAAAGTAACATCTCCTTGACTTCAAATGACTATATAGTTCTCTTTGGGAAGACTTGGGGTGTACATAATACTTTAAGATATTTCCACATTTAATGACTAAATCACTAAAATCTGACTATGACAATTTATGATATCCTTTAATTTGTGAAAGATATAGTTTTTGAAAAGTTAAATAAAATGCAAACATTTGAAGATCCTGTTTTCCATTTACTTTTTTTTAAATAGAGATGTGTTCCTATGAGGAAACATTCCCCCATTACCTCATTTTCAAAATTTCAGCTAGAAACAAAATGACATTATTCTTAGAGTAGATGACCTGGATTAAGACCCCAGCCCTGTCACTTACTACCTGTATGAGGCCTTGGGAAAGTCATTTAACTTCTCCACATCATGGTTTTCAGATCAATAAGAGGAAAAGATTAGAATACATGATCTCAGTGTTTTCTTCAAGCTCTAAAATCTAAGATTCTATGATAATGCTAGACATGGTCAAACTCTATTAGGATTGTGCTTATTAATATTCCAGCACCATGTTACACTGAGGCATATCAAAACATCTGGAAGAAAGAAAGGAAGAAAAAGGAAGGAAGGAAGAAATAAAAAGAGAGACAGAGAATGAAGGAAAGAAAGAGGAAAGAAAAGAAACCAAGAGTTTCTCTAGCATAGCAAATAATCTCTCTCTTCCATATCTTATTTTTAACCAACTCTGAATCATGCCAGCAGTAGGGTAAAGGTAACCATGGTGGTTTCCATAGAACTACAGACCTCAACAATCAATCAATCAACAAGCGTTTTTGAAGAATTTGCCATGAACCATGTACTAGGAGCTATGAGGTACAAATACAACAAATGAAACAATACCCACTTGCACAAAGTTTATGTTCTAATGAGAGAAATCACTTTGATGGACATTTTAAGAGAAAAGTGATGCCAGCACCAACATGATGGCACAAGAGCCTGATCACTTTCTATTCAGGAGTGATAAGGTAATATGTAATTAGTCTATTTAGAAACTCCATAATGGCAAAATCTGAGTTTGCAGATAATGTGAGGGTCTTGTTTTGTTTCATCCCATATAGATCAAGCAATAAAAAGTTGAAATGGTGGAAAAAAAAGAATTTCAAGTTGTGAAACAAGTTCACAGAAATAAGGAAGGGGTTTCCCAGTTCATAAAAGCATAGTAATTTACCAGAGTTTTGGCAGAAAAAAAAAACCACCACCACCATCATACATCTATTAGTCCCTATCCATTGATGTTATTGTTGTTTAGTCATTTTCAGTCGTGTCCAGTGCTTCATGACCCCATTTGGGTTTTGGGGTTTGTTTGTTTTTTGGCAAAGATATTGAACTGGTTTGCCATTTTCTTCTCCAGCTCATTTTACAGATGAGGAAATTAAGGAAAACAGAGTTAAGCGACTTGCCCAGGATCACATAGCTAATAAATACATGAGGCTGGATTTGAACTCATGTCTTTCTGACTCCAGGTCTGGCATTCTATCCACTGCACTATCTGCACCCTATCCATCATAAAGAGAAAAGGTTATCGCAGCCTCAATCACCAATGTACACAAAACAGTAATCAATTACGAGAAATCGGCTTTTGATTAAGATCTTTTATTTGCCTACTGAGTTTCTAGAACTCACTGACTTAGATCATTCCCTTCACCAAGAATTTTCTAAAATATTAAGGCTATAAGAAAGCATCCATTTGTGGTTGAATGGATGGTTACACAAAAGGATACACAGCTATGGAGAGAGAAGATGGCAGATGTTTCCTGGGTGTTTGTTGTACATTCCTTTGATGTGAATGTGTGTGCTAGCATAGCATGTGTGTTGAGACATCAGTGCACAAAATCCAAGCATTCTTATTTCAGACACTCTGGTAGAAAAGCCTGCTTCTATCCCCAGACTGAATTTAGAAACTGATTCTTCTCATTGCAATTACTTCCCCATGTGTTTTTAAATTGAGGGTAACTGCAAAATATGAGGGGTTTCTATTAACCTTAAGTATTTTTCCCTCTGGCCTCTAGGATAGATATGCAGCTACTCAAACAAAGCTGTTACCCATGGAGACAAAGCTCTAAAAATGGAAATGACATCTAAAAGTGGTCTCTCTTTCTCGTTAAGTGTATCTGTTCTGATTTTGAGAAATATTTACATTATTTCTTCTACATCAATGTTTCAAAAACGCAGTGACTTTGTCAACATGGTTATCCACTCCACTGTTACAAATCACAAATCTTCTGTGACCTGGTAAACCTTGATAACAGTGGCAGCTGAAAAGATTCATCATTCCATGCATGGCAAATCTAGTGATGAGTTTCTGGGTGCTTAGCTACGGTAAGTGTCAGAAAACACTACTGTCAATGGATCAGTTAATAAAACCTTTGAGTTTAGGTGGTACCTTCTAAGTGTAAGCTTCATTTGCCTAGCACACAAGAAGCCAAAATCAACTCTGCATCCTGATGCTACACACTCTGATGAAGCCCTGGAGGAGAGCTTTAGTGAACAGTTTATCAACCGGTTAAAAATCAGAGCACTACAAAAGGTAGCTACATTCTCTTCCATCTCAGAATTATCACTGAATCAATCACTTACTGAATATCACAGACAAAATAGTAGGAAAGGTATAAGAGGATCTTAAATAATTCTATATGGACTGGGTAGGTTTGTGATCTCAGGCTGCTTCACTTCTTTATGGCATTCCTAGAGTTAAAAAAAATGCCTTAATCAGGCTCCTCAGAGTGAAAGGACACACGCAGCCACAGTTACCTTCAGTGCTACCTTTCTGACTTCTCTAAATAAATATAAACTAGAATGTTATTTTGACATGACAGTGAAAAGAAGTTTATAAATTGGTTCTGATGTTTGGATGTCTTTATATGGCAGCTGTGTTGTTGGGGTTTGGGGGGGTTGGTTCCCCTTTGCCATCTTAACAACATTTGTAATAGGGTTACACAAGACTCAGCAAAATAAGTCTCCCACTTAAAGCAGGTGCCAAGCAGTGTATGAACCTGATTTGAATCAGTGTTTTCAGACATGACAAATCTAAATGTACCTTTATCTGCACATGACAATTGCTCTTTATTATATGCTGAAAAAAACTACAAAATAGAGATCTACAGCGGCACGTACATTACTCTTTTTCTGTTCCATGTACGTCAAAATGCCCATTTTATTTGATGTTTGTTAAGATTAGAGTAAAAATAAGTTGGGAAAAAAAGAACGAAAACCAGTCGTTGCTAGAGACTACAGTGCTAGAGCCAAACATTAAGTCCTTAGTTCATAACAAGCAGATGTTGGGTGTTTTTTTAATCATTAAAATGTGCTTGCTTCATATTTTTTAATTTGGTAAACATGAGGAAATGCAACATTTTTCTAAAAAGTAATTAACTTACGTGCCTTTAGTAATTTTTTTTAATTTGGTAAATGTGAAGGAATGCAGCATTTTTCTTTGGAACAAATATATTATAAGTGAAATATGATCATTGTTTTTAAATGGCACATATAATTTCCACTGGCCACAACAGTCTTTGATCTAATGGGGTCTCCTTGGGGCACTTTTGCTCTTTTAATGTATAAACATCCCTTGCCTCTGATCTTGCTAAAGCATTGCCAGGGATTTGTTTATCTGATTGGCCAAGTGACACCCATTGTCACAAGGAAAAGAGATTTCTTGAAGGAATAAGACAGTACAGGTCAATTTGAAAGTGGGGAAAAGGAAGTTGGGGATGTGGAGCTTTGTCTAGCAGATGAAAATAATCACTAATACATGCGAAATGCTTTATTATTCCCAGATCCTCTGCAGACATGATCTCAGGGGAGCTCAAAACAACCCTGTGAGAGAAGAAGAGCAGCTATTATTATTCTAATATGGCCAATGTGGTCAAATGGGAGTCATCATGGGGAGATTATGGACATTGAGGATCGTAGCTAGTCCGAGAGGGAACCAAAGGCAAAATTCATCGATTTCATCACTTTGTCTAGGGCTGGCCCTCACTATTACAGAATACCTTCTACCTTCAAATACACAGAATATGTTCTGTTATACAGCAGAATCTAACCAATGGTACTTAAGATTTCTTTCGCAAATTAAAAGTTCCTTAACATTCAAGCCTTCTTCATGACTCCTGCTTTCACTTTGCTTAGTAGAAAAGAAATAAAATCAAGTCTCATTCAATTAGCGAACAAATTTTGGTACCTCAATCTAACGGAATACCACTAACTGAATGAGAAATATAAATAATTCAGAGAAATGAGAAGATGTATAAATTGATTCAGAAGTTAAAAAAAAACTCAAGAAACAATAGGCACAACGGCTACAATGTAAACAGTAAAAGCAGGTTTTTAAAAAACTGAGTGCTCTGTAATTATAATGACCAAGCTTGAACACAGAAAAGAATTGGTAAATGCACTTCCCTCCTTTCACTGCAGAAGTGGGAGAATATGGGCGTGGAAGGATCAATTTACTGTCAGATATGAACAATGGGTTGGTCAGTTTCATTGAACTGTTTTTAATTTTAGATTTTTTTTCTTGTTTCAGTCTTTGTTACAAGGTAAGACTTTAGTAGGCAAAGAGAGGAAGAATTTATTGGAAACGATGTGATACAAAAACAGAAACATTCATAAATTTGTTTAATAATAGTAATAACTGTCCTAATTGTTTAAAAATTTCTGTGCTTTGGCTTCCACCTAAATTAATAGCATTGATTTATCATTTTTTCAAAGCACTGCTTACTTGCTAAACAAAGCCAAAAAAAAAAAAAAAAAAAAGAAACCCTGGCTGGGACCATTCTTTATCCTATATTAGGCAAGATCATAAAATCAATCATTGATTTGGATGAGGAAGAAACCTTATAGCTCATCAGTCCAACCACACCACCTCATTTTCTAGACAAAGAAAACTGATTCTCAAAGGGTACTTATCCAAGGTCAAAAGGTAATAAGTAGCCAAGTTAAGCTTTAGTTCGAAGCCTGGCTGTCTCATCCCTTGCTTTGTTCCTTGTAGAACTGGGAACCCACAACCTTTTTGTGCTAAGGTGCCATGCTGCTCTTCACCTGAAGAGTGTTGATCCATCCATTACTGGGGAGGGAGGTAGCACTCCAAAAGTGTGTGACCTGGGTAAGGTGTGCTAAAAAGTAAACGCTGCTGGCAAGCCAGAGGATATAAGCCATGTCTTTACTACTTTCCCTCACAGATATTTGACAGGAAAGTGTGGACAGTGTAAGAAGAAATCATAGAATCACAGGATAATAGGAGTTGATAACTACCTCTCAGAACTTCTTCAACTGTGGGTTGCAACCCCATAGGGGTGGTGAAAAATTGGCAACAGTAAAAGGTTTCTGAATGTGCGATGACCAAAAATGAATTAAAAATCAAATGCATAACGAATCCAAGGTGTTTCTGGCAGCATTTGCCCATGTTGCATCACCCAACTTCACCGCAGCCTTGGTTCTGAAGACAAAGCATGTGCACTTTGCACTGCACATGCCCTCAGGCCATGCAATGCCAACCAACACTGCCAAAAAAGTGAAAAGGGATCTGAGTGGAATAAGTTTTTAAGACTCCCTGAATTCTTAATTCTTACCAGAATGATAACTCTCTTAACAAACCCCCTCTTGTGAGGGAAAATTGTTAAATTTATACCTCAGAAATCTTCCAAGGCTACAAATAGGGGCTTGATCTATTGTTTTTTTTAATTACACTTAAGAAAAGTGTAGAAAAAATATTAACAATGCAATTAAATTGGGGGGGGGGGTTGGGGTGGGGGGGGGGTGGAAGAACCAGCTGTTAAACATTTACTGATGGGAACCCATTGCCTTCCAAAGCAGCCTATTCCATTTTAGGGCTACCATAATTGTGAGGAAATTTTCCTTACATTAAGCTTAAATCTGCCTTTCTACAACCTCTATCCTCTCTGGCTCTAGAGCCAAACAGAAAAAATTGAATGCTTCTCCCAGATGATAATTCTTCAAATACATGGAGTCAATGTCTTGTCCTTCCCCATCCAAGCACTAAATCTTCTCTTCTCTAAACTAAACATCTTCATTTCCTTCAACCAATTCTCATATAGAATAATCTCAAGGCCCTTCACCATTCTGGTCTTTCTCCTCTGGACACAACCAATAAGGAAACTAGGGAAGCTCCTTGAAAATATGGATTGCTTCATTTTTTGTATTTGTACAGCAGCTAGGATAGTCCCTGGCATAAATAAATGCTTAATAAATGCCTGTTGATTGGTTGATTGGCAATAAACAGGTAATAAGAAAACATAAGTAATAAGGAAGCAATATATAAATATCAGATATGTCGTGACGGGAGTAAAGAGGTGAAACAATATACAAATATAAAAACAATATACAAATATCAGATGTGAAGAGAGTAAGGCAATCTCCTCTCATAAGTTTTGCTGCACCATATAAGTTCACAATCAATTAAAATCCACTCTAACTGCACACTGATATAAACCAGAGAGATGCCACCATCTGAATATCTATCACACACATTTTTAAAAGACAGAAAAAAGAAATGGGTTTAAATTAGAGAAAGAAATTTATACTATGAATAAAATCTTTCTGACAGCAAGTTTGTCAAAGGGATATGGCAGGAGGTTGTGGAGTATTCTGCCAAGAAAATCTTTAAGCATCTTATGGTGACAACCAAAAAGTATTTAATAAATGCCCACTTTCATATGGCTCCATGGTGAATAGCAGCTGAGATGTCACAGATGGCATCTGCTGAAAACAGAAATTTACTTGTGGTTCCATCTAGCCTCATTTTCCTAATTCTCTGATTTTCACAGCTTATATAATATTAACAACAGTGGCACCTTGAAGTGGCCACTATTTCCTCCTCCCTAATTTATTGTTCCTGCAGAAGCATCCCACAAGTTAATTTGAAAGAACTTAATTTTCAGGTGCATTTCTTTTCTAGCCCTTAGGCCTCCATACTATAGAGAAAAAAAAAATATGAAAACAACAGATAGGCTCTGGAAAAGACAAGGCTGGGAATATCAGAAGCATCAGAAATAGGAAATATACTTAAAATCAAAACTGACCCATGGGAATACTATTGTGCTGTAAAAAATGATGAAGGGGGCAGTTTCAGAAAAACTTGGGAAGACTCATATGAACTGAGAGAGTGCAATAAGCAGAACCAGAAAAACAACATATACAATAACAACAATGGAATGACCAACTATGACTCCAAAGTACTCATGACGAAACATGCTACCCACCTCCTGAAAAAGAGGTAATGGATTTAAGGTGCAGATTGATACATAAAATTTTCTGGACATGGCCAATTAAGGAATTTGTTTTGCTTGGCTATGCATATTGTGTCACTAGGATTTTTTTTTTCACCAGGAGGAAGAGAAGGTAGATTTTCATTAATTTTTTTAAAATGAGATTGAATTGTAAGAAATAAAAACAACCAAAAAAAAAAAAAACAAACACCTGACCCTTGCTTGGCATCCAAAAGGCCAAAATGTCACCAAAATTTATCTATGCCTACAAAGACTCATAAGCAGCTGTGTTATTTACTTACATGTTCATTTCCTGCACATTCTCTGCTGCAAAATAAAAAGTCTTGATCTGTGGGTGGCTGATCTTAAAAGCACTTGAAGGGAAAACAGCAAAGATACATGAAAAGTTAATGTAAAATAGAATTTGATGGATTCATAGCTATACCAGTAAAAATTATACTCCTTCCCCCTTTCTGTTTCAAGTTTAAAAAATAATTCTGACAAATTAAATGCTGCCTATTCCATTCCCTGGCTCCCACAGAGAGGTATGAGTCAATTCTTCCTGTCATCAAGAAAATAATATTAGTTAATAGTTAAGATATTCTCTTTAAAATAAGATTATACTGTTTGCATGTGGTCAAGAGTGTGGTGTTTGTGAATGCTTAAGACAATGAAAAGATGCAGGGGAAGGAGTTTCATCTTAGGATAACTGACCCAAATCTTTCAATCAAGATCCCTCCAACATACTCAGGAAATCTGGAAAGGTACCTGAAATTTCAGGCACCTGACTCCAAAGGGGTCTTTCAGAACATCACCTGATGGGAGGGTCCTGAGTTAAAAGCCTTGCCCAGTTACTCACATTTTGATATGATTTCTGGAGTTCCATTATAAAAAAAAAATACATGTATTCTAACCTGCTGTAATTAAAGTTCAAGGTAGACAAACAGTTATAAAATTCTCATATTTTCATTACTTAATAACAACCAATTCTATACATCCTAAATTCATGACAGACATAACACACTTCAACAAAAAAGAAAGAATAAAATTGATACTCATTTCAGTTTGAAACGAAAGCTTGAAATACTGAAATGAATCAGCAAAAGTTTTTCTGCAGCTATTTTAAATCGAAAGTCCCAAGTCATATGGCCAGACCATCATTGCTAACTAACCAAAAGCCACCTAAATCAATGCAAAACTGCAACATCCTGCTGCACCAATGCCCCCAACACCTAAAGGGTAGTTAGTACCTTCCACCCAGCTCATCCTTCTTGTTAAAAGTTATAAGACCTGGGGTAGGCTCTTGAAACATTAAGCTAGGATAACTATTACCATGGATGAATGCTGACTTTTGTTTGGACTAGAGAACAGATTAATTGAAAATGAAAGACAGAATGGGGAAAAGGGGGCAGAGAAGAGAGAGAAAGGAAGAGTGATCATTAGAGAAGCAGTAGTGAGACATTGGGATAGAAAGGGAAGGGTATTGGGAGTCAGGAAATTTAGTTTCAGTCTTAGTTTTATCTCGCCCAGCCATGTAATCTTGTACATGCTACATAATCTTTCTAGGCCTCATCAGCAAAATGAGGGGCTTGGACTGGATGACCTTGAGTCCCTTTTTCAGCTCTGAAACTCTCATGATCCCATTTTACCTCTGTATGCGAAGAATCTGTACTCAAACACTTGTTTCAGCAGAGAGCTAGCCTAGGATTAATGACCTGCCTTGGAAGATAAATGATTATCCATGACACAAATAGTTTCACAAAGAGTTTAAGTAAGAAAACTGCATCGTGGCCTTACTTGTCCTCATGCCTACAGTTATGTGGAGGGAGGTCTGCTGAATCTCCGTTACTAACTAGCACAGAATCTTGGCATCTGATCTCCTGACCTCTATAGCAGGATTTGCTTATGCAGTTCCCTCGCATCACAGAACACAGAGCTCCACTGTGGAATTTTATGGGGGGCTGTTAAAAGGCTGGTCATTTATCTCAGAATGCCAGTGTCCAACACACATGAAGAGAAACTCTTCTATTCCTAGTCAATTTTCCCAGGCTCCAGGTCTGCTCCCTTTATTAACTTCTAAACCACCACACCTTTATGAAGTCAGGATCCCACCTAGCCCAATGCACAGTGAACACGAATTAGGTGAATGTTAACATGGACCATGCAGGAATTTGTGATGGATGATGACTCACTGCTTTTTCTTGCATTCAGCAGCTCTATCCACAGCAAAATCTGGCAAGTTGATGAATCCATCAGCTTTCTCTGCCTGAAAGAAGTACAAATCACAAGTCTGAATTAGACATGCCTATCCTCAATGCATTTCATTACGATTAGACAAGCTGAATTTAGGAAGTGGGGTAAAGATAAGGAAATATGACTACAATAAATCTTAACAAAGGCCAACATGTTGTAATGGATAGAATGTTGGACATGGAGAAGAAGATTTGGGTTCAAATGCTTCCTCTGACTAGCTGTGTGATCCTGGACAAGTCACCATATCACTCTCATCCTCAGTTTTCTCATCTGTAAAATGGGGGTAAAAAAAATGTAGCTGGGTTGTCCAAGATCAAATGAGAAAATATATATAAAATGCTTTGTAAACCCTAAAAACACCACATAAAAACAAATCCAAGTTAGCATGTCAGTAGCTACTACATGCTAGGATATCTTCTCATCTACAAAAATTAGAACCTTCTAGTATCTTCTAGGTAGAGACACTTAGGAGTATGGAGGCATCAAGGTATTAAAGGTTTTTCCTCATGGGTGTAGATTAAGAAACCAAACACTATGCAGGCACACTGTGGGGAAAGTTTTAAATATTACAACACCTTGTTAATGGAAAATAGTGGTCATCTTCTATAATAAGCTCCTAGGATTATAGATTTAGAACTAGAAGGGAACTCAAAAGTCAGCTAGTCCAACTCTATCATTTTACATATGAAAAAATTAAGGAATGGGGAATGATTTGCCCACAGGGTCATATACTGAAATGTAAGGCAGGATCTCAACCCAGGTGCTCTGAGTCCAAAGTCAGCACTCCTACTGATACACCATGCTTCCTCCTGCTTTATTTTATAGTTGTTTTAAAAATTAAAATTAATATTTTAAGATTACAGTTTAACAGTAAGATGTGGCCAACCCAATCTGATCCAAGTGGAAGGACCTATGCCTGCTTTTGTCTCCTTGCTAAATATGACCTATATGCTAGGTCCTTCCACATAGGATCTCAAATCTTTTTTTAAAAATAAAACAAAATAAAACCCTGGCCCACTGGATGCAGCTATTGTGAATGGGGTGTTTTCCCCTTCCTGAATAACATTGAACCTTATTTTCTTACTTGAACTCAAGAGTCTGCACACACATCCCATCCCTTGGTTCCTAAAGCCCTGGATGAAGCCAGATTGCTCTGGAAAGATATGATAGCAGATTACACGAAAACCAGAGAAGACTCTTCTGATACACTCAACCCCACTTGCAGTGTGTCTTTGGGTAAGTCATGTTATTTCTCTGGGCCTCAGTTTGGTCATCTGTCAAATGAGAATCATCTCTGCTCTTCACATTTCACAAGATTATAGTAAAGATCAATTAAGATAATGGACGGATGGGAACATAAACTGCACAGTGCGACAAATGACTCAATAATATTATTGTCACTAGTAGTAATTTGACCCACAAAGCATATCTCCAAATACAGCCAGCAGGGTTAGGATAGTTAATATTTGAGAGACAAGAAATCTCTGCCTGTCACCTCCTAAGTTCCAGACCCTGGCAGGCAATTGAATGCTCTTTCTAAGATGTCATCAATGAAGGAAGGAATCATCTCTTTCTAAATTTTGTATTTGCCCGAAATAGTAATTGTGCACACAGAAGGAACTTAATAAATGACTACTGGAATGGAATTAAATGAATAGTAGTAGAGTCTCCTTTAGCAGATATTGCCAGTGATTCTGAGACAAGTTATCACCTCACCCCGTAGCAATTCAAAGCTGACAAAAATAATCTCCAAGTGCTCTGGGACTCCATGCCTTTCACTAAAATATGAACAATTGAAATACAGTCAAATTTTGATGAAGGGCTTGTCAAATTATAATAGAAAAACTAGAGTCAGAAATATGCAAACATTTATGAAATGAAACTATAAGAAGAATAAAACCAAAGAAAAGGAATTGAGAAAAATCCTCCATCAACCATTCAATGAAATAAAAAACCGAGGTATTGAAATTAGAATTTAAAATACTGTTACTGTTGGGGACAGATTCTGATTTACTAAAAGTAGCCTCTATATTGCAAATGAGGGGCAGCCTGGTAGAGTGGATACCGAGCCAGCCTTGGACTCAGTAAAATCAAGTCCTATCTTTGATATATCCTGGTGTGAGCCTAGACAAATCTTCCTTAACATCTCAGTACACTAGGCAATGGGCAGCTGGGTGGCACAAGTGGATAGAGTGCTGGGCCTGAAAGTCAGGAAGATCAGAGTTCAAATCTGTCCTCAGGTATGTGCTAACTGTGTGACCCTGGGCAAGTCACTTAATCCTGTTTGCCTCAGTTTCCTCATTTGTAAAGTGAGCTAGAGGAAGAAATAGCAAACCACTCCAGTATCTTTTGCTCAGAAAACCCCAGATGGGTTCATGAAGAGTCAGACATGACCGAAATGACTAAGCAACTCTTTAAGGTTTCATGAGCACAGTTGCAGATCTTTATTAGCAGAGGTTTCCTCACTGGAGGTTACCTAAACCAATGAAATTTAAAAAAAATTACATATCTGAAACTATACATACAATCACACACATAGGAACAGATACTTATACATTATGGCTATACTATATAGATTGTAATACATATAATATGCATACGTAATACATAATATATGCAATACCCTATATCCAGCAATATACTACAAGTTTCTACCATATGTATGTAAAACCCAGGGTCACCAGCATGACATGATGACCCATTGGTGATGAATCAAGTCTGTACCACATGTATTGCAATACATGTTATATCTATGTGACATACATATGCATATATATAATGTTATAACATATAATGCAAGTCTCCTCTACATGGATTGCTATAGATATAACTCAGGGTCACCTTAATGTCATAATGAAGTCACTACAATATGCATTTCAATTCTCCACTAAGTGTATTGTAAATCTCTCCCAAGGTTCTGCTCTGGGATTTTATCATGGAATGGAGGTGACCTGGGTTCCTGAGTGCTTTGCCAGAAAATCACAAGCTCTGAAAGTCTCTACCAAGCTGAAAAAGCTTCTTCTGACTCAGCAATGAACTTGGTTATCAGATTACCAGTCTTGATGTTAAGTTCATACAGGCCCATCATCAGAAGACTGGCCTCTAAATGATTTTTGTTGTTATTGTGTTAAATCACAGTAGCACATGAAGACTCTCTCTGAAGGTACAGAGAGGCTACAGATTATATTAGTAGAGAGATTGTTTGAAATATTTAATTATATCTGCAAAAACCCTGAAAAAGTAGACAGCATGCTAGAACTAGGTATACTAAAGGAAGTAGGAGGCCATTTATTACTGGACATATACCCCAAGGAAATCAACAAAGAAAGAAAGTCCTCTACATACCAAGATGGAAAGCTAGGTGGTACAATGCATAGAGCTCTAGGCCTTGAGTCAGGAAGACTTGAGTTCAAATACAGCCTCAGACATTTACTAGTTGTGTGACCCTGGGCAAGTCACTTCACCCTGTTTGCCTCAATTTCCTCATCTGTCAAGAAAGCTGGAAAAAGAAATGGCAAACCACTGTGGTATCTTTGCCAAGAAAACCCCAAATGGGTTCACAATGAGTCAGACATGATTGAAATGACTAAACAACAACAATATATACCAATATATTTATGGCAGCACTTTGTACCACATAAAAAATAACAACTGAAAAGAAACTAAGTGCCCATAAATTAGGCAATAGTTGAAGAAGTAAGTGGCATACCGGCTAGAGCACAGGACTTAACATCAGGAAGACGTGAGTTCCAATTCTGCCTCAGACCTTCCTTAATTGTGTTACACTGGGTAAGACCCTTAACTTCTGCCTGCCTCAGTTTCCTCACCTGTAAATGGGGATGATAATAGCATCTACCTCCCAGAGGTGGTATAAGAATAAAATGATATTTTTAAAAGTACTTTGCAAACCATAACAGACTATATAAATGCTAGCCATTATTATTACAAGACAGGGTTCAATGAGGTGAGTGGTAGTTAAGAAGTGTGGTGTAAAATTACTTTTCATGACAGACAACTCTGTCATCAATGTCCTGTTTCTTTCTGTTAGTTTGACTAACTGAAGGACGAATATAGTTCTTATTTTTTAATCATAAGAGCCACTGGATATGTAAAGAGAGATTCTCTCAGAGTTATCTAGTCTGTGGAGCTGGTATTACTCTCATTCCTACAATGTCCCCCACCTCCTTCATACCTCACAATGCACTTAAAAATTAATTCATTTAAAAAAATTGTTGCCTGGGTTTACACCACACTTCTTAACTACCACTCACCTCACTGAACTCTGTCTTGTAATAATAATGGCTAGCATTTATATAGTCCATTATGGTTTGCAAAGCACTTTTAAAAATATCATTATTTATTAAATTTAGAAGACTTAACAAAGGAAGTTTTATTATGGAGCAGTGTGATATGGGGCAAAGAGAGTTGTCCTCTGGACATTTATTGGAATGCAAAAGAACACTTGCATATGTAAAGTGAGCAGAAAAAAATTACATATGAAGCCACAGATCTCTATCATATATATCTATATAATGCTATTTTTTTAAGTTACCATTCAGTAGTCATCTGGTGATTAATTAAATCTACTCCTTAGAAATGGCTTTTCTAGTAAAGCACAGGAAATTAGCTACATCAGGAAGAAGGGAAAAAAACCCTTTAGAAAATTTATGGCGAAGTCTGAGTAATAAGTGGTTTTAAAATTCCATTTAATTTTTCACTTTTATGGTGAGCTTTAAACTGTAGTAAAAGCTTACTTAGAAGGACTTAGCAATTTTGAATTTGATTGCTTTGGCGAACACTTATCTATAAAACCACCTTTCAATGAACAAGGGTGGGTTATTGAAATTTGTTTACCCTGCTCAAAAGTTAATTACAAGTCTCTCCTTTGCAGTTTTGTATGCTCCTAGTTTTGTTGACATCTTCAAATCTTTTGCATGTCATCCTAACAAGGAAACTTTAGCATTGTTGCTCTGGGAAGGTATGAGAAAGGATTGGGTTGTTCGTGCTAGTGTT